CTGTTAGGCACCATGCCATTCCCGCTCAATCCACTAAATGATCCCATTGGATATAACTGCATGATACACTTTTATCTGAAACAAACTGCGCAAAATTGCACCTCATTAAACTTACTATATCCTGAAGTTAATAGAGGTACAACACCTCCGCCATTCATCCCTTATGAGGGACAATACTCATGCATTCACCGTTCAGATAATCGTGGGATAATAGTAGGTAATCTCACAAGCTGTAACACCATTAATAAAGGCATCAATCAGACTACTATTCAAGCTTTAGGTAGAATGCACACCGCAAGAGCTGATGTCTGGTGGTTTTGTGGAAAAAAGACTCTGTATCCAACCCTGCCGTTAAACTGGACTGGCATTTGTGCCCTGATTCAATTAGTAATGCCATTCTATGCGTTGCCATTCAACAGCAGAGATTTACTTACAGCAGCTGCCAGCCCCCACACTCAAATACAAAAAACTAAAAGAGCATTGCCAAAAGGTAGCTTTGACTCAACAATATACATTGACCCCATAGGGGTACCTCGAGGAGTTCCTGACGAATACAAGGCCAGATGTCAAATTGGGGCGGGATTTGAATCCATTTTTCTCTGGCCAACCATTAACAAAAATGTAGATTGGCTGAACTACATATATTATAACCAACAACGTTTTGTTAATTTCACCCGAGATGCTATAAAAGGACTGCACGAACAGTTAGACAAAACCACACTGATGACATATCAAAATAGGATAGCTCTGGACATGATTTTGGCTGAAAAAGGAGGAGTCTGCAAAATGTTCAAATCTGTGTGTTGCACATACATTCCCAATAACACAGCACCTGATGGCTCTGTCACACGGGCGCTTCAAGGACTCACCACTTTAAGTGAAGAACTGGCTGACAATAGTGGTGTAGATTCACCGTTCGAAATCCTCAACTCCATGTTTGGAGAATACAGAGCTTTTTTCCACAGCATCATCCTGTCAATAGCAATAATGTGTGCAATACTTGTGCTCTGTGGGTGCTGCTGCATTCCCTGCATTAGAACTCTAGCCAATAGGCTTATCACCACAGCGTTAACAAGGGAACGTGAGGGACAGTTTGTGCTAAGAGAAATGGCACATTTAATGCAAGATGAAGAGTCAGATAGTGAGATCAGAAAGGAAGAAGATGATTTCTTTGCATAAATCATGATTTGAGTTTACAACTTCTGTTTTGTTAAAATGTCTAGAATCTTTGGAATCATATTTTGATGTGTATGTAATGTTTTAATTTTCAATGACATAATTGAAGATATGCTAAGTCTAATAGTAATTTCACACCAATAAATGGTGTGAAAGGAGGGATTGTTGAGTTTTAAAAAGTTACAACAAAACTTAATGTACTCCAGTGTTTCAGTGCTTTCTTCAAATGTAAACCTGCTGGGTTTTAGGCCAGACAATTTCATTAGAATGTTGATTAAACCATTGTTTGTATCCTCTTTGTAATGTAAAGAAAACTGACACCTCTTTGTTTAGTGCCAGAAGGACAGTTTTTGACTGTTTCATTGACACTTAAGACAGGGTGTTAACCATTTTGTAGACAAGCCCTGTTGTTCTCCATGATTAGTTTAGAGCAAAAGACTGTTTATTCCTGTAGATTGAAGGGGGTTTCACGTCTGGGAATTGGCGCTCTTTGTTCGACCAAAAGTACCATAGAGCAGTAAGGTACACCCTTCCTAATTGGGTGACGAAGAAGTAACCAAATGACCAATGGCTTTGGTCCTGAGCCATTTGAAGGAAAAAACCCGCCCACATACCTGGAGGATATTAACAATTAGTTTGGTGAGAATCGGGACTGTAAGCTGTAAATCTGAAAAGAGGAACAACTTTCCAGTCCACTGCAGTGTTTTTGTTTTGTTGTTTGTTCTGTAATGCCATCTTTTATTCACCTATTTTTATTAAATTTTCTTGTTAATTTTCATTGGACTGAGCCTCTCCTTTCTCAAAATCTGAAAAAACGCAACAGTGACTTGCATTAAATGGCCCCACTGAGAGCCAGAAAGTCCAGGTGTGGATTTCTGGATGACTGATAATGGATAAATGTTATCCTTTGACGCACGGCGACCACAGTTCACGTCTTTGTCTTGAAGTATATTAGTAATCTGACATTTCTATTATGTAATAATGATCAAAATCTTTTCCTAAACTAAACGTGAATAGCGCTGTAGTGTTGACACAATACTTAAGTTTCCAAAAATTATACATGTGTATGAATCACAATAAGGAAAAGCTAATTGATGCCATTTTTAATGCTATAGCGTAATGATTGCTTGTATCAAATGCATTAGAGTGAGCCAACAGTAAGCTTTTGGTCATCACCAAACTCTCAAAATGCTATATAGAAGGGAACTGTTACCCCGGACTCACAGAGGTGGGTGTGCGCCGCGTTACAGCTGCGTAGGTGCTGATGGCGCAGTTGATAAGGCTCATGCCTTTGATGGGGGAGACCTGTGCTCGATTCCCACTGTGACACATTCACCAATGTGTTCCTAAGTTGATATAACAATTGTAAGTCGCTTTGCAGCTAAGCGTCAGCTACGGTAAATGATTAATTAATTATTTAACTCGTAAGTCCTTGTTGGTTTTTTGCTGACAGAGGTACATGAGACTAGGGCTGTCACAATAACCGCAAAACTGGTCAAGCCTACCGCGGAGGATGGCAAGCCCCGCAGCAACCGCAATGTTCATACTTTACATTTCAGGGTGTTTTTAATTAATAAATTTGTGTTTCAAAAATTCCACAACCGTAACGAGCTCTGTAACGGTTCAAGGACGTATCGCCATGAGCTGTACATGACCTGACTTCAAACTTGGAAGCTGTAAGTGTTGCCGTGTTTTGTGCTGTTTTACTGTTTATTAAAGGTTAGCTAGCAGGCTCGGCGATGTTGGACTAACCTTGTAATCCTGAGGGACGGTCAGTAGAAACTGTGAAGGTAAGCCTCATTTGAAGCTCATTAACTAACCAGCGTACTGTGTCAGATGCCTGCAGCTGTTTTTCATGTTGCTTTCTGTGGAAATTTAATTATAACGTTACAACAGTGCAGTGGTTAGTTGTGGACAGCTCATTCTGCTCCGCACCTGTGTGTGTGTGTGTGTGTGTGTGTGTTGGCTGTGGTATGTAAATAGACTTGATAGACGTACCCTGAAGGTAACCATATAGCTAACGTTACGTGTGAAAAATACACTACAAACTACAAAAATGAGTTTGCTTGGCAATGTTGTTGACTAGCACCCAGCAGCTAGCTTGCTCCGACCATAAAGCTGCTGTTAGCGGCTCGTTGTGCAGTGAAGGGAGATCCACAGACACTCTTACTATGCGATAATACTACACATATTACCGCAGGGGAAATTACTTCACCGCAACAGCCCTACATGAGACGGGCTTATCATGTTCGATACCATGACACTCATATCGACGAGTGGCAAAAGAGGCATGATAACAAACAGTGGGGAATAACTTTAGAGGGGGGATATTGATGTACTAGCATGTCATCATGCTGTTAGACGTTGTCGCAGCTACCTCTGAATCCTGGGGCACTCTGGAGAGGCATTTGTGAAGACGAGTCGAAGTGAAAAGGGAACAGGGTTTGGCGAGACTCTCGCCGTGGAATGTAAGCCCTACGCAGGATGAGGTTTCGCAGGTCATCTGGTGTCTACTGTTCCAATGGGAACTTTTGGTTTGGTGAGTGGGACTTAGCAGAGTGATAGGAGCAGTGGAGATAGACACAGAAACAGTTAATGACATTGCTGCTACCAATAAGTAAACAGATTCAGAACTTTAATAAATTGGTTGTGGGTTGTATGATCACTACAAATATTTGGAGCTATATTTGACTTTCACCTTAATTGAACACACAGAGTCCTTTAAATACTCCCTCATAGGCTAGTATCCATTCCTTTGCCCCGTTCATTTACTTTAAAACCAACAACTTTCCACATAGCACTCCTACTGTTAGTCGTATCAACCAACACCGGCCCCAAAGGCTCTGCAGTAATTTTATCTTTCTGTCTGACACATGGAATAAAAAGCTTTTACTTTGGCAGTTTATGTTCCCCAGAAATGTGCTGCATAATTGCTGCACGAGTATGTGTTTGTATTACTGCAGGGTCTCAAAGCTCACTGTAGATTACAGGACATCCTATCTCTATGAAACCACACAAACTCAGATGCGCTAAAACAAACACTGGCTGACTACTAGAAACACTACTGCTGTGTGTGTGTGTGTGTGTGTGTGTGTGTGTGTGTGTGTGTGTGTGTGTTTCTGCACTGAAACATGCAAGTCAATGCTGTATGCCTGTTATGTGGTATGTGAAACAGATATTTCTGTGTAAACTGCCCTGAGTATAAAAGGCAAGGCAAGTTTATTTGAATAGCACATTTCAACAACAAGGTAATTCAAAGTGCTTTACATAAAACATAAAAGCAACAGGGAAATATAAAAAAGTTAACAGTTAAATGATTTGATTCCCCATCTCCCATTCTATCCCCCCTTTAGTTACTTAGGGACTCTAACCTTAAGGGGACTCTAACCCTTTAACACTTAGGGACTCTAACCCTTCTTTAGATACAGTCGTCACTGTAAATCCAAAAAGGATAAAAATGGATATTTACTTATTCTATACAGTGAGGAAGTGGTGTGTGTACAAGTGTGAGTGTGTGTACAGACTCTTGCCAAGTATCACGTTACAGGAACATAAACAGTAGGCAGCGGCCTCTTCCTGCATATATAGTAATGTGTGTGTGTGTGTGTGTGTGTGTGCGCACACGTGTTGGAATGCATAAAGTGCAGTTTTGATTATGTGTGCGTTTCTGTGTGTGTGAGAGAAAATTTAAATGTATGTCCTAAAATACAGCAAATGGTGTCCAGCTTAATATTTGTACATCTGCAGTACAATGGTGTCATTTTAATAAAGTGCGTGTGTGTGTTTCTACTTGCTCTAGTCTATCCAACACTCCAAACACTTACCTTTGGGATTAAGCTCTGCAAAGAGGAAGAGGAGAAGAATTAAAGGTTAAAAAAAAAAATTCAGACAGATCACAGAAACAGCAGAGGTATCGCTCCTCGTATCTAGCTTTATTCAGTGCAGACCATTAACAAAGCTGCACTGGAAGAACACAACTGCTGTTCAAAGAGGAGGGGGATTCCCTGGGAAAACCTCCACCTCCCTGCATATGGATACACACAAACTTAAAGAAACACTCTGGGAGTGCTTTGTTCACCTTCCCACACACTTGGAAAGTACCGCTGGAGGAGAGCACAGCGTCCTGACTGAGCCAAAACAGTCCAGAAGACGATAAGATGTCCAAATCCAAAATTAAATCGCTGCTCGTCAAGGGGTTAGCATGAAAATTGGTCTGACAGAATCTGGAGCTAAAGATGTCTATTCTTATAAAATTGCCAGTATCAACAGTCCAACTAATTTAACAGAACAAATGATTTCTCCAGTATTACCCCGTGCCATTTAACCAAAACTACCATGTTCCAAAGACCAGTTTAGATGTGTAAATGTATAAATGCTCATTTCATTTTAGACCATCTAAGGAAAAATACCAATATTTGTGAGCATCAGGCTAAAAATAATCTGGGCTGCCACACGGTTGTAGTGGTCCTGCTGCACTCACTTGTAAGTGCTTGGACAATGCAAATGGAAATAGATTTATGGAAAGGTTTTGTTAAATTAAAAAAAGCTTTAATCTTCTATTTGGGGGGCTGTCAGCAATCTACCAAACTAAGCAGCAACGTTGAGAAAGGGCAAACACTGAACAACGAAAATGGGACACTGCTTGCGAAACAGAATTTTCTTTATCCCAGCTCCTCACTGCCAGATTTTCCCAGCTGCTCTGGGATCTAAAGAGTCAGCCTCCTGCTCTTCTAACCTTTAGGCCGCAGCCACAGAAGTCTGGCAGATTAAGCACTGATTGATTGGTAGAAGAGGATTTCCTGCGAAGGTGAATGAAAAGCAGATGGCAGGTTGCAGGCCAATGAAAAGGCACTGAGGTGCTGAGTCAGAAAGTTCACACAATATTAAAAGCGATGAAAGTCACGCTTCCTTACAGCTGTCTCTCTTTCCTGCAGTAACTCTCTTACTCTCGTCATAATTATGTCTTTTATTTAAATATTCTGATCTCTGTAATTATCATTTCATGTCAATTATGTCACATTTATCTAATTAAAAATACAGAGAACTTAATAATACATGTCTCCCATTAAACTGGTTCAATCCCAAAACAGTATCACTAACCATTTCTCAAATTGATGTGCTTTTGAAGCCTAATTGGTGATTTATTGTGTTCCCTGAATTAATAAAAACAGATTTCTAGATTTCTGTGTAAGAAATGCTCCAATCTGCCACATACCAACATACCAAAACTATTATATGAATACGTTCATTTTTAGCAGTATTATCTAATCCTAAAATACACATTAGCTTCTGTCATTACTTTGTCTTGAACTCTTCTTACCGCTCAGCACCGCCAAAGAAAAGAAAGTAAAAGCTGAAGTGGAGGGGAGAAAATCTGAAGAAAAAAAAAAGGCTAGATCAACACGAAGAGGAAGGGAGGGAAAGAAAAAAAGAAAAGCGAGAAAGAACTAAAAGCATCAGTGCTGAGTGAAAGCTCCAGTTAAACGTAAAGGACATGTCAAATGGTGCAAGAAGGCACTCACAGCACACACACTCCTGGTAGCCACTCCTGGCCTGCAGCCAGCCAGTGTTCAATCAGTCTTTCCTGTTCTAAAATCTCCTGTAATGGCTGAGAAATTAGATTGGCTGAAATGAGTGAAATTCTGGATCCATTAGTTGGTGCTATAGAAAAAAAGCCTGTCAAATGTTTCATGACTACAGGCCTTTATATATTAATAATAACTGAGGCAGTGTTCTTTTCTATAATTACCTACAGAAACACCAAAGTGCTCTAACTATTTTTTAGAGTCTTAGAAATAAAATATCTCAGCTTTCAAAATATCCCTCTATAGCTTTTTCCGAGACATTTTTTCAGTATGTCAGTATTGTGTCCCAAGGAAGTACACATTACAGTTATATTTTCCTCAGCCAGTTGACAAATTTTTGTTTTATTTTTCAAACCCTTGCATTTATTGGCCTTTCTACTAGTAAAGGCAATAGGGTGGTGTACTTGTGAGACCTTCAAACAGATGTCCTGGGTCCCTGTTTCACTGTACTCAGCAAAACATTGAAGATTGTTCTGCAGTTATCCTCTGATCTCATCCAATCGCCTCAAACCCAGTAAAGAATGTCGTTAAAAATATCATGCCTTATTGTTATCACCAAACCTAGTGTACAAAAGTAAGAATAAGTAGATGAAAACAAGTTCTCCTGTATCAGTGTATCCAGCAATGACTGCTGGTTAATGATGTTCATTTCTACTCAAATGTGTGCACAAAATCTCCAGTACTCAATACTCTAACAAAGATGAAGACAATTTACACTGAAGTCCAAGAGGCAAGTTTCCTCATCAACAAACCAGGGAACTTACAGTAAAAGAGATCTATTATTAACTTGCCAAAGGACTTCATAAGCATTTTAAATTGTAGATAAATGTCAAATAAAAAACTCAAACTTCCACTGTAATGGAACGGAAAACTAGATGCAGAGAGTACAAACTCCTGCCATTCAAGGCTGCACAATCCTCAAAAATTATTATATTATAATTTTAACAACAGAAATATAGAAAATATTGAATGGACACTTGCAGATATATCTGCTTCAAAATACATTTACATATGTTGCAGATTTTCGTCATACTTTGACTTTGAAAGTGCAGCAGTTGAGTATGAACACAAACTAAAATTAAATCCAATACAATTATTCAGCACAAAAAACTCTTCACTTCCTTGGCCAGTGGTCTAACTTTCCACAGATCTGTTACTAAGTTTTTGTTATATGGTGCAAACGAACAGGGCTGAGAACATGATCTGCTTGGCAGAGGTAACTAGCAACACCAACATCATCAGCCGGCCTTAAAAAGCTACTTTTGAAATGGATTTCAGACCGGGTAGTTAAACATGGAAGGAGCTCACAAAAATACTGCAGCCTCCTGGAGACATCAACATATGGAGATGCTGGTCACTCTGGCAGGCTCAAGAAAACAGGAGAAAACAATAAAGACTGCCAACTAGCTCCCTAGCTTTCCACACGAATTGGCTTAGCAACCAATGAATCATGGCTGGCCGTGTTTTATGGAAACAATCCGCACAGTCGCAACTTATCTTTGACTGCTCGGATAAAAATGCCCATTGTGTATGAGCTAACAATGTACTGTAAATGCCAAAGTGACCACTTGATTCCTCTGAAGTTTGTTTGTGTAAAGGCCATTGTCAGGGTGTTTGGAAAATCACATAGGGGCACTAATGAAATTCTTTCTGGATTGTAACGACTACAGCCACCGTCGAGCCTCCTTTGAAGGGTTTAAGGAGTCAACAGTCATCTTAAATGTCAAAGCCTTTGTAGAGCTTATAGACGGACAGAGTAGCCACTGGGTGGGATGGTGTTATTTGCGGTGGGTGGTGTTAAGGCGTAATCATCACCCCTGGGTGGGAGTGGAGAAAGAAAGAAAGAGATGAGACAAAGTGATGCATTCCTCCCATACCGGGAGAGCATTTAAAGGATGAGAGGAGACGAGGCATTAATGGAGATTAGCACTGGAGGAACACACAACCGCACATACTCATCTATGCACATGCTCTTAAGATGATCCCTTTGCAGTTCACCACCAGAGTAGAGATGACTCCACATGGCTGCAGGACTGCAGGGTGTATTAGCTAGGATACAGAGCAAAAACAGCCCTCCGTTGAAACAGCAAATGGGGTTGCGATAGTTGGGGTGCGTTTTTTAAGAAGAAATACAATTCAGGAAGTTCAACGTGAGTAAAAGATGAATGCGTTATCAGACACCACAACAAAGTACAACGGTTTGTAATACTCCCAGACAGGATTTTGCAAACCCAGAAAGTTACCAGAGTGGCAACTATTTTATCTTTTCGCTGCGACAATCGCGAGTTCACGTTACAAAGTAATCTAACCAGGAATGTGTGCTCGCATGTATGTGATAGGTCGACGTAGATCTCAGACCCGGACTGATAACACTGCGTTGCAGCAAAAGTTGAGCCTGGAACAACTTTTTTGCCAGACCCGAGCCCTCCCCGTTGGCAGCCCCGCTGAGTTGATGAACTAGCTCTATTCAAATGAATGACAGGGCTGCGTTTTTTCCTACACGGCTGATGTAGGTCTGAACACGGCTGGCTGCTGTGGCTGACAGTGAATGTGTTGCTCTCTCTAGTGACATCACCATTACTGCAGTGCCAAGGCTGGAATGAACCGTTTTGCTGAAAGTGAAGTACAAATGGCTGCACTGTTTTTGGTTGGCATTTGTCTCCTCTGACTAATGAAGGTAGAGTTGGTATTCACTCATCTTAAACTGGTAAAGACCCTGACTTCGAGTCAGAAAATTAATGTTAATGTTACCACTTTGACTGATTTGCTGTGTAGTTTAGCCTCAGTCAGAATACGTTTTCAGGCTTAATTTAGTAGTATCAATCAATCAATATCATTCAACAAACCTGCTATTTCTCCGACAGTCCCATTAAATGTATACGGTAACTTATTAAAAATCTGAAATTGTTGAAATGGTGAAAAGGTCTCTAGGCATCAGGTAATTGGCAATTTGTTTATGTCTACCTATTTTTTTAGATTAGTCTGAAGTACACACTTTGTTCCACTAAAGAACATTTTAATGCTAGGTGAAACTTCAGGACAAAGCCCCAAAACACAAACACAATAACTGGCTTTCCTAGTTTGGTGTAGAAAAACTTCCCTTGTGAACTCAACCCCATCCAACACCAGGTCTTCTCACAAAAAAAAATCAGTGTTGGACCTCGCTAATGTTCTCTTTGGTCTACAATACCTTCCCTCCTTTCTCTCCACCTTTTGTATCCTTTCTTCCCTTTCCACCTTTCCACCCAGGCATATTTACCACCTTTCCCTCCCTGCTCCTTGCCTACCTCTCCTTTGTTCTCTTTTGTCCATCCGTACCCTAACCCTAAAGCTGATGATACATGGAGCAACCTTTAGAGCAATGGTGCTGGACAATGTTCTCGTCAATGGTAATGAGTAAAGATTACTACCTTAATCCGCTTTCACCACCAAACACACAAAAAGTTGCCCCATGTATCATCAGCTTAACTGGCTAATTTTCTACCAACATATAATAAACCTTTTCCAATTCTACCTCTAATGCAACAGGTCCCTCCCAAAACACAAGATCAGTCCCCTGCATACTCTACCCCAGCTCCTTGGGCTTCCAATACCCATCGAAATACTCCTAATTTTTAGCTATTTTTAGCAACACAATAAAGCTTAACAAAAAAGAAACACTTCCCAATATGTCCAGACATTTCACATTAAATGTGCTTGTGGAGAGAGGCAACTGCTCCACCACCACAGGCCTGCCAAAGCAAATGTAATCCAAGGGAAACAATAGAATGAAAACACTGAGTTTTTTCATAAGCTGATCGAAGGCTGAAATCACTATTTTTAAAAAAGGATGTCTGTGACATTTGAAATAAAGAGTGGTTTTGTTGGTTTGCAGGGGAAAGTAATATCTTCCAGAAATATTGCAGGGCCTGGAAACAGATGCCTGGAAGGAGCAGGGGGATGAATTGGGCTTGTCTGGAAACAGCCCAGATGTCCTTACGTCAAGTCAGTGCTCTGTTAGCAGCTGGTTTTCAGCACACAATATGCGATGTTAATGTAACTAAATTCATAATGCAACTTAAATTATGCTAATCCTGTAAGAGAAATGTAGATCTTGTCCAGCTTTTAACATTGTCACTGTTTATGAATTATGTAAAATGTCATTACAGAAAAGGAACATGAGTGAGCATCGTTCTCAGCTATTACAGAGAAAATAACAAGTGAACACTGTTACAGTCAAACAAGTTTAGAGCTACACTGACGGATTTATTCTGTGTTAAACAGAAACTCATCACTACAAATGGTTTTGGAAAACCCATGTGTCAAAATGATTATCCTGTTAAAATAAAAGTTTGGATTGGAGCTAAACAAGGTGTTTACCTGTAGGCGAACAGTAGGACACGGTGATGTCTCCGGTCAGGTCAGCAGGGGGATAGCGACCATTGAGAAAAGCAGAAAATGCCACAACTGTGGAGGAACCAACACCTGAAGAGGGACAGCAAAGATACGTTTACATTAAGATTAAAATAGGGAGTCCTTACGCCATATCCTGTGAAGCAGCTGTTCCAGTAGCTTCTGCTCAAACATTAAACAACAATTAAGGAGTAAGCATAAAACAAGTGAAATGTAGCTTCCATGAAGTTTTTCCAGCATGGCATGTTTGTGTAGTAATGTAGTAGTAAGTAATTGGTAATGTTGTCTTTTATTACATCTCTTCAAATGTTGTCTTTCTTGATTTTAATCTGTAGCATTCATCCCTCTCTGTCCATTGTCAAAGCTTGCCATTTGACCGGTATCATGACTTGACTTTATTGTATTGATGACAGTAGAGACATGGCAGGAAATGACTGGAAAGAAAAAGGGTGAATGATGTGCAACAAAAGGTCCTCAGCTGGAGGCAAATTAAAGACGATGAAGATGATGTTCATGATCGGCAACTTAACCCCTATGCCAAGGCGTCACACCGACAATGTGTCTTCTGTCTTTATAATTGTCAAGTACCGAAAAGCTGGCATCAAATGCTTGCTCAGATTTATAATCTTCTTCAGTTATTCCTTTATCAGTTTCTGTAATTTCTAATTTACTGTATTAAATCATTTAAAACGATACCCAGCCTTACTCAATAAGCTGTTGAGCAAGGTGATGTTCCAAGGATGCATTTTAAAAGGGGCGTTTCACCAATTTTACACAAGTTTTGTTTTTTCAGCACAGTAGTAGTGCGTAATCCATATTAGGGACTAAAAGCCATGATTTTGACCTCTGCTACATCATTTTATTTCTTTTGTGAGTCAACTGTATGGATGTGCCATGCTAAATCACTTAGTGAGTGAGGTTATCTTACTTCTAGAAAAGAAGTTCAGGTATTAATCTGATGCGCTTTAAAAGAAAGACGTTGAAGGATGGATAAGGAAACAGGGAAACACAGGAACACACACACATAAACTCAAAGAGTCAGCATTTTCGAGGTGTGGACACGACAGGATACAGCAAAGGCAATTTTAACCAGACCCCTTAATGTACATACACACACACAGACACACACACACTAATTATCTCCAGGCAAGGTGAAGACAGAGGATTAACAACACTAACCAGAACTTTAACATGCGTCCAAGCACGCGCACGCGCACACAGCACAGAAATTATATGTAGCATGAGAGAGGGGCGATGACTTGCAGCTTCCCTTCAAATACCCCAAAAATAACAGAGACAGAGAGAGAGAGCGCAAACAGGCTGGAGAGAAAAAGCAGGGATCAAATACAGACGGAGAGGAAAGGATATATTACAGCTAATGGCTTCATGCAGTCTCACAAACACACACACACACACAGCGGTGTGGTGGTGTAATGGGGCGTGATGTTCCAGAGCTCGGCCTGTTACAGGTGACTGAACCCCAAGTATGTATGTGTGTGTGTGTGTGTATGTGTCCTAATGGAAAATGCGAATGTGTAGTGAATGAGAGTGAGCTGATAGTGTGTGTGTTTGAAAATATATCTGTTTCTGACTATGTATAACATAGTGTTTCATTAAAATAGTAAAGACCATCACTGACCTTCATCACACACACACACACACGCCTCTAAAGTTAAGGATAGACGTTGCAGAAGGAGGCGAGATGGATGAGAGGGGATGAAAGGAGAGACGACGACACCTCCCCTCCCACAGACAGAAGACAAGATGAACGATAAAACGCAGACAGAGACTTTCTCCACACTCTGTCAGAAGCCCTGACAGCATGAGCTCCTCTCCCCGTTCTTTTCTTCCCTCCCTCCTATTTCCCCATCTCCCACACTTGCCATCTCTAGCAGCCATTCCTTTTTCGTGCTCCTTTCGGCCCTTTCATGTTGTGTGTTAAAAATAAAGCTGGAGGTAAAATTGCATTAAGGCTGGAAACGGGAAATGGCTAGGCTGCCTCTGTCGCAAAGGTAAATAAAAAAAATTCCTACCAGTGAATTTTAAGTTCATCAACACATGTCTTTTTTTGTTTAATCCATACAACTAAACTGCTAAAAGAATTTGTGGTTTTATGGGGAGTTACGGGCTGGAACGGGTGCTGAGTCTGCACTCAACCTCTCAGTGATGACAATATTCCAGTAAATCACTGCAGAGAAATAGTTCCAACATGTAACTCCCAAAATATTGACCTATTCCTTTCAATTATGTTTGGTTATTATTAGGGCTGACCCCGATTAGATGAAGATTCAATGCTTTGATAGGCGGAGCCTAATTCGAATTGTCAATCTCACCATCAAATCTTCGCAGCGGTTTTGTGAAACAAGGATCATACCAGTTTGGCAATATGGGGGTGCTCAACGTCTGATTTTACACAGAACTACCAGTTTTCCCTCAATAAATTAATATATAACCTATAACAATATAAATTACAACATATAGGCTAATGCTGTAAATAAAAATGTGAAAAGAAAGAAGATTTTAATAAATGTTTTTAGTGCGTGAAGTGCAAAAGTGCAAAATTGTAACCTTTAAGGAAGGTAGCATGTGTGTGTGTGTGTGTGAGTGGATATGTCGTTATGTGTGTAGTGGCAGAAGAGGAAAACTTGCTTAAGAGACGAAGCCCCAGCTTCACCGGTGCTGTGCAGAGTTGTCCACACCTCGCGGGATTCTGATAATTTGATGAACCCCACAAAGAATATTATATCGTTTTAAAAACTGTAATAAAAACTGAAATAGACCAGCGAGGAACCGCGACTAGTATGCTGTTGTTGGCTGCATGGCACAACTCTGCACAAGACTGGTGAATGGCAGGCGAGCACAGAGAAAAGGGTCAACAATAAGCCTCAGTTTAGCTAGAAATGCACAGTGTAAGTTACAGTGACTAATGAATAGAGACTGCAGCTCTGCAGCTCTCAAGATTAAAGTGGAGCTACCTTGTGGAACCCCCCAAAATCGCTGCCACACAAACATGTGATTCGACTATCTGTCCATCTCCCTCATTTCTCCCTCTCTTGCTTCCTTACTGGTTCTCCCCCTTTCCCTTCATCCTCTCCCTTTACTTTGCTCTCTCTCTCTCCCTCCCTGCCACCCTGTCTGTCAGCAGAAGGCTTTTAACCTGTGTGACCTGGAGGTCAAACTGGTCAGACTGGTTTAAGTGCTTTAAGTGTTCCCAGGCCCATTAAGACCAACAAACAACACCAAATAAGACACCAAGTAATCCTCCTCCTCTCTCTTTCTCTTTTCTCTTCAGCTTGTCATCATATATTCAGGCACATCTGGACGGGTCAGAGGGCTGCTGTGGGCGTCAAACCTCTGAGCTCCAGGTAAGGTGTCCGTCTGTGTGACCTGGAGGTCCAACCCAATGAGACTGTTTAAACTGGTCCCAGCGTTCTCAGGCACATTAACCCATTCCCACTACTGCCCACAAAAAGAAACTCCACAAAATGAGACTGAAATCCCCGTCCCCCATTTCACTACCTCTCCTTCATTACTTCCCTTTTCCCTTACTTTGCTCCATCTCAACTTTCTACTCACCCTCATCAGTTCACCTTTTCATTGCTTCTACACCTTCTTTATCCAGGAGTTTCTCACTACAAAAGAGGAAGCCCTATTCTCCTTTTCTCCCTAAATCTGCTTCGCTTTTATAAATAAATCTCCTTTCCAATTTTCCCCTGCTCCTCTTCTCTCCATCATGGTTTTCTGCAGAAGGACTGAATCCTCCTGTACGACACCAGAATATCCTCCATCAGAATTTAGGATTTTGCAAAACATAAACATAACTGAACATGCCGACAGCAGGTAATTTTTGGGAGTGTACAAAGAAAATGTGACAAAGGTGGCAATTACAGACAAGCTCTACTTGTTTCTCTTTAAACTTTCTACAATTGATGTTTTTTGTTTACTCAGAATCTGCTGCTGACCTTCCTTCTCTGCCCTTGCAGACACGTAGCATTAATTTCCAATGACATGCACAATCACTACTCTGAGAAACAGGATATTCTGGGTTGTCATGATGCACGTGCAAATGCAATGACTCGCACCTCCATCTTTTCTACTTTCACCTCCCTCAGTTTTCACCTCTTTCATATGCTCGCTCTTTCCACTCTCTCCTTGCTGCTCCATTTCTCTCTGTTTTTATTAGGACTGTAGATTTGCATTTACAAAGCAGGTATAAATAACAACAGATATATATGTTTGTTCTGTCAGTTGAAAATTTTAATTGTGTTTTAGAGTTGGAATTTTCTCTTACAGGTTTCCCTTGGAATAGTTGTTTCTATTGCTTCTTTGTAGGTGTGTGTGTGTGTGTGTGTGTGTGTGTGTGTGTGTGTGTGTGGCTGTAGCTATCCCCAGGTTATAGTACTTGACAGCTCAGGTTAAACAGAGTATACTGACTTTTTAGGGGAGGTGAAAGGTCTAGAGGAGTGAAGATGGGAATTGATCCCACACAAGGAGCAAGGAAAGGGTTTGTGTGTGTGTGTGTGTGTGTGTGTGTGTGTGTGTGTGTGTGTGTGTGTGTGTGTGTGTGTGTGTGCGCGCGCGTGCGTGCGTGCCCTTTCTTTGCCATGTGCAAATGATATAAAAACAAAAACATCGAAAGAAAAACAAATCTGTTAGGTAAATTTGTTCTGAGCCATTCCTGGTCTGCAACTGCTTTAACTGAAGTGGCCTTGGGTGTTGCTGTTAACATTCACCTTTGACCTCTACAGGTCAGGATCAGGTCAAATCACTTACATCACAGAGATAAAATGTCCAACATGCAGGGTTTTATTTTCAAAACAAAAATTTGAAAACATGTTTTTTTAATTTTTGATCCAAATTATTCAACTTTTAGTAAAACATTGACCTTGCAGAGGGAAAGTCATGTGTGTGAAAATTATGCTGTGGTCTTGATAAGTGTGTATGTGTGTGATGAAGGAGAGGAAGAGTGCTGCAGACCGATACAGAGAGAAGGAAAGGATGGGAAGTAAAAAAAAAAAAGACAGCAGCAGTAGAGGAAAGAGGAAAGAGGAAGACGGGAAGAGAAGGATGCA